TGCAGATTATCTGCCCCAGGGTGGGTGCAGTACTCACACCCATAATCCCAGCATTAGATCAGGAATTAATCACAAACTGTAGAAGCCAGCCATTAGTGCATGAGGCTTTGGAGCAAGGGACACCTAGGCACAAACCATAACACCCACCAAAGTAACCTATTTAGTAAACCTACAAGCTTCCCAGTAGCATGTGCCAATCTTTTAATGTCCAGATGATACCATGAATATTTTCTTTTGCTCTTGGTAGATTTTATTTGTACATCTACACTATCCTTTCTACTTCTGTCTCAGTTGTTTTAAGTTGTGCTATGTATTATTACTATTGAATCTTAGGATCTTTATCCTATCAAGGCCCACCCTCTCAAAGACTAAGATCTAATAAACTCTTGCCATAAAATGTGAAGTTACTAAATTACTAGTCGGCTCTAATGAGCATAATCGACTCAATAGTGCAACTAACTGTTGAGTGCTTACTAGATATCAGACCTTTTATGTGCTTTTTCATTTATTAGAGCTTTGAATACTTTCAACAGTGGCACAGGACAGGGGTAGGTACTTCTCATTCGTATGTTGTTGAGGAAACAGTCAGATAAGTCACTAACCAGAGTTGTTAGACAAGTGCCAGATTTAGGATTCAAACCCGGCAATCTGACTGTCCTGGGCAGCTGTCTATGTTATTATTTTGTTCTTTTTATTACCATAGAACTTCTAATAATTTGTAAATCATATTTTTTGCAGTCTCTTGAGTTTCTAATGGAGTTAGCTTTATGTTGGAGGTCTGATAAAGAGATATGCCTGGGCTGGGAAGATAGCTTAGTGCAACAGTACCTGCTTGGAAATCACAAGCTCCTGAGTTTGATTCCTGGTACCAAATAATAAAATAAAGAGATGTGCTTACAAATCTGTGATATGGAGCTAGGTGTGGTGGTGCACAGCTGTAATCCTAACACTTGGAAAGCTGAGGCAAAGTGAGTTGGAAGTCAGCCTGTGCTACATTATGAGTTCAAGGCCAACCT